GCCCCGTCCTCCTGCACTCCGCCCATCTCCTGAGGCTCCACCCATCTCCAGAGACCTCGCCCCTCCTGCACCGCCGCCGGTCTCTGGAGGCCCTGCCCGTCTCCAGAGGCCCCTCCCCTCTTTCGCTCCGCCCATCTTTTGAGGCTCCACCCTCCTGTGCCCCACCACTTCTGTGGTCCCGCCCCTGCTGTGCTCTGCCCTCTGTCCTTTACTGAGGCCCTGCCCCTCATGAAGCCTCGCCCCTCCTGCACCACCTTCTGTCTCTGGAGGCCCCTGCCTGTCTCTGGAGGCCCTACCCCTCCTTAGCTCCGCCCATCTCCGGAGGCCCCGCCCCTCGCCGCCCACTGATGGTGCCGCTCCTGCAGTCCCCTCTGCAGTCCCGGTGGTGCACCAGGTGAGCCGGGCGTCCGACAGCATCACCGTGTCCTGGCCGCAGCCCGAGCAGGCCAACGGGAACATCCTGGACTACCAGCTCCGCTACTACGACCAGGTGCGCGGGGCCGAGGTGGGGCGCCAGAGAGGTGGCACGGGAGAGCCCTGCCCGGTGCCGTGGGGGCCTTGGTATGGGAGCAGCTGGGCGGAGGGCGGGATGGGGCCAAGTGAGTGGCTGTTCCTCTAGGCCGAAGACGAGTCCCACTCCTTCACCCTGACCAGCGAGACCAACACGGCCACCGTGACGCAACTGAGCCCCGGCCACATCTATGGCTTCCAGGTGCGCGCTCGCACGGCCTCCGGCCACGGCCCCTACGGTGACAAGGCCTACTTCCAGACGCTGCCTCTAGGTAAGTGGTGCCTGGGGGGGGGGGGCCGGTGAGTGAGGGGCGGGGACTCTGGGGGCAGGAGCCCTCTGGGTGAGGGGAGGCCTGGCTCAGAGGGAGGCAGAGGGCATGGGGGAGAGGCCAGCAAATGCCCAGGTCTTGCAGGAACACAGCGTCCTGCAGCCCGAGGCTCTCTGGGCAAGGAGCTTCGAAGAGAGTGGGGCTGAGCAGCCGGCCTAGCATCCACCTGTGTGTGTGAGGCCCACCCACCTGTGACCCTGTGTGTGTGTGTGTGTGTGTATGTGAGGCCCAGCCCATCTTTGACCCTGTGCGTGTGTGTGTGAGGCCCACCCACCTGTGACCCTGTGTGTGTGTATGTGAGGCCCACCCACCAGTGACCCTGTGTGTGTGAGGCCCACCCACCTGTGACTCTGTGTGTGTATGTGCATGTGTATGTGAGGCCCAGCCCATCTTTGACCCAGTGTGTGTGTATGTGAGGCCCAGCCCACCTGTGACCCTGTGTGTGTATGTATGTGAGGTCCAGCCCACCTGTGACCCTGTGCGTGTGTATGTGAGGCCCAGCCCACCTGTGACTCTGTGTGTGTGTGTGTGTGTGTGTGTGTGTGTGTGTGTGAGAGGCCTGGCCCACCTGTGACCCGGGCGGCCCTCTCCTCAGGTGTACTGTCCGCCCAGCTCCCTGAGAGGCTCTCCTTGGTGGTGGGCTCCGTCCTGGGGGCCTTGGCTTTCCTCCTGCTGGGAGCCATCACGGTGCTGGCTCTTGTCTTCCGGAGGTGAGGCCCCCGGCCGGCCATCCTGCACCCTCGCTCTGCAGCCTGGAACCCACTGAAGAAACCCCACCACCATCACTAAGGCCCTGAAGAAACCCCCCCCTCCAAAGCCCTCTCCTGTCCGGAGCTCCTTCCCCAGGCCCACTCAGTGATGGGAAGAAAGGACCTAGCACTCTTCCACAGATGGGGGCTGGGAGCCGCCTTCGGGGGCAGCAGGAGAGATGTGAGTGGGTGTCATTCCTGACCTCTGCTCTGTCCCCCAGGAAGCAGCGTGGGACAGGCTACACAGAGCGCCTGCAGCAGCACAGCAGCCCAGGTGGGGGTGGGGCAGGGAGTGGGGGGGGGCATGGAGAGCAGGGCCAGCTCCTCCAGGCTGAGGTGGGTCCTTGGCTAGCCCCGTCCTCTGGAAGTCAGAGCCCTGTCCAGTGTCCCCGCCCCCCTCACACTGTGTCCCCACCCCACAGGGCTCGGGGTGAAGTACTACATCGACCCCTCCGCATACGAGGACCCCTGCCAGGCTGTCCGGGAGCTTGCCCGGGAGGTGGACCCTGCGTACATCAAGCTGGAGGAGATCATTGGGGCAGGTACTCCAGGCAGAGGCCCGGGGTGGCTGGGCGCCCTAACATGGTGCAACCCCATGAGCCGGTGGGCCCCCCTGGCCGCCCTCCCACCACCCCTGTTCTCCAGGCTCCTTTGGAGAGGTGCGCCGGGGCCGGCTGCAGCCCCGAGGCCGGCGGGAGCAGGCTGTGGCCATCCAGGCCCTGTGGGCCGGGGGTCCCGAGAGCCTGCAGATGGCCTTCCTGGGCCGGGCGGCCGTGCTGGGCCAGTTCCAGCACCCCAACATCCTGCGGCTGGAGGGCGTGGTCACCCGGAGCCGGCCGCTCATGGTGCTGACTGAGCTCATGGAGCTGGGCCCCCTGGACAGCTTCCTCAGGGTCAGTGGGCTGGGGCCAGGCGGGGGCTCGTGGTCAGGCGGGGGCTTGGGGCCAGGTGGGGGCTCGGGGCCAGGAAGAGGCCAGGAGGGATGGGGTCCTCCACACTCCCGGGAGGCTGAGACCCAGGCTATCGCTCCTCCCGTCCAGTCCATGCTTTGCTTCCCTGCCCCCCATGCCCACGCGCACGCTCTGCTTCCCCCACACCCACGCTCTGCTTCCCCGCCCCCATACCCTCATGTGTCCCCTTGTGTGCCATGCTCCCCCAGCCTGTGCTGACCTTGCCCGGTCCCACAGCAGCGGGAGGGCCAGTTCAGTAGCCTGCAGCTGGTGGCCATGCAGCGGGGTGTGGCCGCAGCCCTGCAGCACTTGGCCAGCTTCGCCTTCGTGCACCGCGCCCTGTCTGCTCGCAGCGTGCTGGTCAACAGCCACCTGGTGTGCAAGGTGGCACGCCTTGGCCACACTCCTCAGGTGAGGGCACAGACATGCAGAGGGGTGGGTCCTTCAGGCAGGGAGTGGTGAGGCCCTAGTGTCTGTTGAAGGGGCGGCGCCTCTCTGCTTGCGCAGGGTGGGGCTGGGGAAAGCAGCTCAGAGAGTTGAGGGAGGAAGGAGGCCCCCTAGCGTGCAGGTCACGGGTAGACTCTGGGCAGATCCAGAGTGCCCCGCTCTCGAGCTGTGACCTCGGACAAGGTTGTATTTCTATGTGCCTGGCCGCTACATCTGTAAGGTGGAGCTGGTCTTGTCCACCCCAGCGGGGCGCGGGGATGAACGAGATCCTGACTGGAGCCAGCATCGCATCCCAGCGTGTATGTGGTAGGGGATGGCTCACGTGGCTATTCTCCCCTCCCCCTCTCAGGGCCCAGGCTGCATGCTCCGCTGGGCGGCCCCCGAGGTCATTGCCCACGGAAAACACACTACGTCCAGTGACGTCTGGAGCTTTGGGGTCGTGATGTGGGAGGTGATGAGCTATGGAGAGCGGCCCTACTGGGACATGAGCGATCAGGAGGTGAGGCCCCGCCCACCCCGCCAGCCCGCCTCCACAGACGTGCTTTCTAGGGCCCCTTCATGTTCTAAGACATAGCTGCTCTCCTGGTCCATGGTGGTCCCAGCCCCGCTCCAACCTCACACCCCACCCAACACTGCCTGTCCTCGCCTGACGGCCCACTCATCTCCATTAGCACTGCATTCCCACCCCTATATCCTTCTCTGACCCCAGGTGCTAAATGCAATAGAGCAGGAGTTCCGGCTGCCTCCGCCCCCAGGCTGTCCCTCTGGGCTACATCTGCTTATGCTGGACACGTGGCAGAAGGACCGTGCCCAGCGACCCCACTTCGACCAGCTGGTGGCCGCATTGGACAAGATGATCCGCAAGCCGGACACTCTGCAGGCTGGCGAGGGCCCCCGGGACAGGTCAGGAGTATGGGGCTGTAGCCTGGGGGTGCCGGGGCAGAGAAGGCAGACGAAAACGAAAACTGAGGAGGGGGTCGGCTAGGATGGAGAGCGGACCGTGAGCTGCCGCCCCCACCCCCAGACCTTCCCAGGCTCTTCTGGACCCTGTGGCCCTGGACTTCTTGTCCCTGGACTCCCCTCAGGCCTGGCTCTCAGCCATCGGACTGGAGTGCTACCAGGACAACTTCACCAGGCTGGGGCTCTGCTCCTTCAGTGATGTGGCCCAGCTCACCCTCGAGTAAGTGGGGTGGGGTGCCCCCGGCCGGGCGTGAGGTGTGTGGCCCGGGCTTGACGGGATTCTTCTCCCAGGGACCTGCCTGCCCTGGGTGTCACGCTGGCCGGCCACCAGAAGAAACTCCTGCACAATGTCCAGCTCCTGCAGCAGCATTTGCGGCCGCTGGGCACCGTGGAGGTCTGAGAAATAGCCAGTCCCCGCCACGGCCTCTGCACACCCAGCCCGGCCCCGCGGACGCTGCACCCCGCCCTCTGCCCCCCCGACCCCATTAAAGGGAAAGAAGGGATTTTGCAAGTTGGCAGTGTGGCAGCCTCAGTTTGCAAGGGCAGCAAGGGGGGGCCTCAAAGGCAGCGCAGAGGGTGGGGGTGCAGAGACAGATGAGGGGCCAGGTGAGAGCAGGTGTGATTTTATTGGAAGGTCGAGGGGCAAGACTCCCCCCAACTTCACCCTGTCCAGAGTGACACCTGTCTCCCTAACACACCTGTCTACAGCCCAGTGCCCTCCACTGTACAGAGCACCTGGGGAGGGCGCTTCCCTCCCACTTACCACGCAGAGATGGGGCCTGGGCTTGAGACAGTGCGCCTGTCCTTAAAGTGCTTTGCTCGACAGCGCAGCTGTCCTTGGGGAGGGGCAGACAGCAGCAGACCGGCTCCCTCCTTGGGCCAGCTGCGCTGTGTGCGCCTGAACCCTCCTCGGTCCCCTCCCGCCCCGAGCAGGGGCACTGGAGGCCTGGAGCGCAGAGCCCTCTGCTGCATCCTCGGGCTGATTCCACTCCCGCCCTGGGCCCCGGGCAGACCTCCAGTTTTCGCCGGCTGGCTCCCGAGAGGCGGGCAGGCGCTCAGATCTGGTACTCCCAGCTGTACTGGTCCTCCTCCAGCCCCCTGTTGACCACGCCCCGCAGCTCCCTCCGCAAGGTCCCTCGCCGCAGCCTCTCCCAGTTGGTGCTGCTCCGGGAGGTGCTCCGAGACACCGAGGGCGTGGGGAGGGGCAGGTGCTGGCTGAAGGTTTGGCCAAGCTGCAGCTTCTGCTCCGAGTTGCCGTCCAGGTCGTCGGTGTCCAGGTTTTGGAAGGCCTGCGCGTAGCGCTGTACACGCTGCCGGTTGAGGTCCTGCCTGTCCTCCACCCTGCAGAGCATGAGGCTTTGAAGGCTGGTCCCCCAGGACTGGCCTCCTGCCCCCACCCCACCCCAGCCTCCCGGACTCGGCAGCTGGTGCTGACGAAGGGCCACCCACACCAGTAGGTGCTCTACCGGGCCTCTGCATGGCTGGCCTGTCCCTTATCAAAGCTCAGACCTCAGTGTGGGGCGGGTGCAGACCCCCATAGGGCGCCTGGGGGCAGGGGGTGGCCTGAGCAGAGGGACAAGGCACGCAGAGCCTCCAGTCCCACACGTCACTCACCGCAGGTACCAGTGGTCCCCCAGCCCGTACTGGCACCCACAGATGCCGGAGCGAGGCCACAGGAAGCGAGGCAGCTTCCGCTCCAGCATCACTGTGGTATCCACGACCTGGAAGGGGCCAGGGGGGAAGTCAGAGGGAAGCTGGGTCCAGCGGAGAGACAGGAAGGCGAGAGAAGGAGGGGCTCTAGAGCTCCTGGCTTCCAGGGTGATGAGCAACCTCTGATCTGCTGACAGAGCCCCGGTGGAGCAGTGGTTCAAAGCTTGGCTGCCAACCAAAAGGTCGGTAGTTCAAATCCACTAGCCGTTCCTTGGAAACTGTGGGGCAGTTCTACTCTATCCTATAGGGTCACTGTGAGTCGGAACTGACTCTGTGGCACCTAACAACAACCATCTGTGGACCCTCTTCTCTGAGAGGGAGCTGGTGTGACGTGGGCCCCACGGCTTTTGCCCAGTGACTGACATCGTGGGGGAGCCAGGCTGCTTCTGCAGAGTTGATCAACCTTGTTGCCAAGGAAAGCGAATGAGAATGAACCAATGACAGAGGGGTCCTCAGGGATATGGGATATTTTGACCCAACAAGCCTATCGGCCACTTACATAGATAAGCAGTCTGTTTAGAAAGTTACAGAGAGCAAGCGGTTTTCACGGAGAAGATATTTTCCTGAGCAAACTCCATTTAGCCAGTTTCTTTTATTCGGCTTTCTACACAGCACAGTGAAATGGCTTCCAATTTTTAGAATTTCCATTTTGCTTTTGCTGGGATTACTTTTGCTGTGATAAATTACTTTCTAAGAATATTTCATAATGAGAGTTGGATTCATTTAGCGGCCTTTTGTTCCCATCGTGATGATGTGACTGAAGATAGCTTCGGCTACAATAGGAAATTTTTTGTGGCATCCTTTTTAACAAGTCCGATTTTTCTGGGTCAAATTTTACAGACTTAAATATTGTCAAGACTTGATAACTTGCGTTTTTATTCTGTGATGAAGTTTACCGAATGCCATTTTAGCCACTGTTAACTTCTTTTCTGTTGTCAATTATTCTAGAAGACTGACGTTTTCGTTTTTTCTTAGCCAATTGTTAAGAAAATTGTGCAGAATTCTTTTCAGCTATTCCAGTATTGGAGTCTCTGGGTGGTGCAAACAGTTAACACGCTTGGCTGCTAACTGAAAGATTGGAGATTTGAGTTCACCTAGAGGCACCCTGGAAGAAAGGTCTAGCTATCTACTTCGGAAAAATCAGCCATTGAAAACCCTACGGAGCACAGCTCTACTCTGACACACATGGGGTCGCTATGACTCAGGGTCGATTTGACAGCAAATGTATATGTATTCCAGGATTTGCTTGGTTGTGTTGCGAATCCAATTCTCTTGCATATGTTGCTGTATTTTGTGATCTGTGCAACAACCATGCAAACCTGGGGGACAAAAGACCAGCTTCTTTCTTGGCAGCAGTGGTGGGCTGCAGTAGCCCTCCCAGCCCCCAGGGGGCTTACCTGGGCCCTCCAGAGCTCATCCCGCTCATGGGCCACCCGCCAGTGAGTGTCGCCCATCATGGCAATGAGGAGGTTGAGCATGAGCAGCGCCGCGATGATGGCAAAGGCAGCGTAAGTGACGCTGAACATGAAGGGCAGGTCCACGCTGTAGTTGGCAGGGCCATCAATGACAGTGAGGAATAGCTCGAAGGTGCTGAACAGAGCCATGGGGTAGCTGTAGAAATGGCCCAGCTCTTCGGGGTCCTCGGTCTGGAAGAGGATATAGAAGGCTGCCCCACCCAAGGGGGTGAAGGTTACCATAACAACTGCACACGTGACCAGCCCACACCAGCTCTTGGGAGCTTTCTCCGTCTTGTTCCCCTCATCATCAATATCATCATCCCAGCCCACCGATGCGCGTATGTGGGGTTCGTTTGTTCCCTTATTTTTCACAAGGCTCATCCTGATACCAAGAGCCAACGCTCCCTAGCACTCTCAATCTCCCTCCCCTTAGGGTCCAACGTCCCATCTTCAGACACTGTACCACCTCCTCTGCTCTCTGCCTTACTTTCCCTGCCCTGAGTGTACCCAGAGGAATTCTGTACCCTGTAGGTTCCCAGCCTCCCCCTTCCATGGCCCCACCTGGGCAGATTATTTACCTGAGGCAAAACCCAGGATGACCACAGCCATTAGCCAGCAGAAACGCATCAGGTCTCCAAAGATCATCTAGAGGGAGGAGAGACAGCATTGCCACACACGTCCTAAGCTGTTGCCCCTTCCAGCCTTTAACAGTCTAAGCCACAAGTCCAACAGCTTCGCTATCTAGGAGAGGGGGTGGCAAACCAGAGCCTGCAGGCCAAATCCACCTGGACGCTTTCTCATGGCTCTTGAACAATGGTTCTTACATTTTGAAAAGGTTATAGAAGAAAAAGGAGGAGGAGGAGAGAGAAGAGGAGAGAGAGACTAAGGAGAAAACAAAGGAGGAAGAGGAGGAGGAGGAGGAGAAAAGGGAAAAGGAGGAGAAGGAATAGAAGGAGGAGGAGGAGAGGAAGGAATATTAGAAGGAGGAGAAGAAAGAGAAGGAGAAGAAGGAAGAGGAGAAGGAGAAGAAAGAGGAGGAGGAGGAGAAGGGAGCATACGTTGCCTACAAAGCCTAAAAGAGTTATAGGACATATTTCTAAGCCCTGCTCTAAGACCTTTCTCCAGCAGGGCAGTTCTGCAGCTGAGGAGAGGGGACAACTGGGGGAGGCACGGACCTTCTGGATCATGATGGTGAAGGGACCTATCATCTGGAATCCTCGGGCAAAGTACATGACGCTGCACCAGCCCAGCACCAGGGCGAAGGACATGGGGACCACCTCCCCGTTGGTGTTGGTGAGCCGCATGACCATGGTGACCAGCACCAGGCAGGCATAGGTGACGCTGGGGAAGGGGGAGAGGAGGGCTGGGTTATCCAGCAGCCATAAGGTAACTGTACACGCACACTCAGGTTCAGCCTTCACCCACACACATCCCTGGAGAGGAGCCTCTGGGTGAAGGTACTCCAGGAAGGGAGACTGGAGCCCAGGTGAGGGAAGGGGTGGGGGGAGGAAGGAGACTCACATGAGGATATGGAATGGCCCCCCGAGGATGGTATGTCCAAAGAAGCGAGTGACCCCAACTCTGAAGATGTCCGGGATCTGGGGAGAGGCCAGGGAGATGCAAAGACAAATGTAGACTGGAGCTCAGGTGGGTGCCTAGGCAGATGACCTCACCTGGACTCTGCCCACACCTCACCTCCAGGAGCAGGATGATCACAGCTCCAAGTACAGTCACCAGCTCCCCCACCAGGCGGATGTTATCCTTGGGGGTCACATAGGCCTCCTGTGGGGGTGGGGGTGGTCAGAGCACTCAGGGATCCCCAAAAGTTAGGCAGGACTTGGGCTCCTTGCCCAGGTTGACTCAGTGACGGTCAGGTTGGGCTGTTCCCAGGCCTGCCCTCGGACGACAAGTGTGTTTTTGTGTGTGGGCATTTGGGGTTGGTGACCATGCATTTGAGACTGGGGGAAGGGAGCGATCTGGGGTACAGGCAGGAGCATGCCCCACATCTGAGAAAGCGCTCTGCGGGGTCACCTGGAGCAGCTTCTGCTGCAGCAGGGAGTTGTCTCGGGGGCCCGTGCGGTTGCTGGTCCTGGGCTTGAGCGGGCGGTAGATGCAACACATGGTGAAGCAGCCGATGTAGAGCAGGTAGATGGCGCCCAGCAAGCAGAAGTACGGCCGCCCGTACCGCCTCCACTTCAGGTTCACCAGCTCCTTCACGGGTGTCTGGTCTAGGATCTGGCGTGCCTGTGGGGACCGAGAGAGGGCAGCTCAGAGACCTGCCAGCCTGTACCGGCTGCCCCGCCTGCCACCCTCTGCCCCGCGCCCCTGCTCAATGCCCACACCTCTTGCTTGCTCCAAGAACTACCAGCCCGTGCCGGCTGAGCTGCCTGACGCCCCTGCCTGACGCCCCCTGCTTGGCGCGCCTGCCCATTGACCCCTGCCCGGCGCCCGCACCTCCCGCTTCTTGGTGGTGACAACGAGCTCCAGCAGGGACTGCTCCTCTCCCCAGGAGTCGATCTCGGTGAGGTCATAGAGGGTGGAGGTCAGCGGCCCGTAGGTCCACTGGATGTGCTTGCGCCGCTGCATCAGGTGCTGGAACATCTGGGGGAGGGGGGCAGGGAGGAGTCAGTAGGAATGGCCACCATCCAGGGGGACGGGGGCCAGGACTGCTGGAATGGGTGGCTGCACTTCCCCATGATCACAGCGTGGGTGGGCACAAGGACCATATGCACACTGACCCTCAGGCCCCTCTCTGGACCCTGTACCCCCTCCAGAGCTTGGGAAGGGAGCCCAGAGACAGAGGGCTGGGGCTCTGCGGGTAGGCACGGGTGTTACAGACAATCCCAGGGTGAGGTCCAGATGCTGCAAGCCCCCAAGACCCTGGGGAGGGAAAGCGGGAGAGACAGAGGACGGCCGGACAGCAGGGGACCAGAATGGTGGGAGATGAGAAAGGGTCCCACTCTAACTAGGAGGCTCAGAGGCAGGGAGTCTGAGCACATGGAGCCCCGAGGGCCAGGGTGTGGGGGTGGGCATCCTCACCACGGTGTTGCCCTCCACCCCTGCCAGCTTGAAGGGGGTGAGGCCCTGGTGGTTGGGCACGAGGTCCAGCGACTGCAGGGTGTCCCCCCCACGGCCGTCGTAGGACAGCAGCAGGTTGTACATCTGGCAGGCGAAGGTCTTGTTGGGCTGGAGGGTGAGGATGTGCAGCACGGTGTTTCCTGGGGTGGGGGACACAGTGTCACGAGGCTGCCGTGCCCAGGCCCAGCGTGGCCCCCACCCCCACGGGGCCCAGCCCCTCTTACCCAGGGCGTCCTGGGCTCGGATGTCTGCTCCGTGCTCGATGAGCAGCCGCACGAGCTCCTCGCTGCCCACGCAGGCAGCAAACGACAGCGGGTGCTCCCCTGGGGGACAGAAGCCGTGGATGGGAGAGTGGGGGGCAGTCCCCAGTGACCATCCCCCCACATCTCAGCTCAGGGACCCTCGTGGAGAGAACCAGAGCAGGGACGATCTGTCTGCCTGGCACCCTTCTCCAGCCCCTTGCTCATCCCTTCCTCCTGCCCCGCCCCCCAAGTCTCACCAAAGTAGATGAGGTTGTGGGGACTATGGCGGAAGGCCATCCCTGTGGCTCTCGCAGAGACGCTGGCCCCGTGGGCAAGCAGGGCTCGAGCCAAGTTCACGTTCTGGTTCACGACGGCGATGTGCAGAGCGGTCTGGCCTGGCCGGAGACAGCATCAGTGGGCTGTCTGTTCCCCATGGGGTCCCTGCCCTGTCTGCTCCTGGCCCATGCCCCAGGCTGGCCGGGATGGAGGGTGGGGAACCTGGGATCTGAAAGCCTGCCTCTTCCCCTCTCCCCTGGGCAAGTCGGGGTCAGGAGCCCTGCTGACCTGAGTCTTGACTGACAGGAAGAGGGAGTCGGACAGAGGGGAGGAAAGAACAGAGGGCTCGGGTTCTTGCTTGGGCTCCCCAAACACCCACACGGGGGCGACTTCAAACACCCGCTCCTGTAGTGTGCAGCCGGCCCTTCCCTCCCCTGGGCCCAGCCTCACCCTCATACAGCTCCGACACCATGGGCTCCCGGACCAGCTCCGGGGCCGCCTCCATGAGCAGCAGGGCAGCATCCAGGTTGTCATAGAGGGCGGCCACATGCAGCGCAGTCTCCCCCAGGGCTCCTGGAGGGGACAGAGGGGAGAGGCTGTGGCTTCTGGGGCAGGGGAGGGGATGGTGCAGACACAGGCCGCCATGTGGCCCCAGGCCTCCCATGCAGTCCTGGGCCCCCATACAGTCCTGGGCCCCCATGCAGTCCTGGGCTCTGCCCTCACCCCGCTGGTGCAGCTCGCAGGCCTCGTACTTGAGGAGCTTGGTCAGTGCCTGGATATCATTCTCCTTGGCGGCTAGAAGGAGCGGGGACTCCCAGATCCTGTGGGGGAGGGATGAAGAGGTGGGCAGCGAGCACTGGCTATGCAGGGAAGGATGTGGCTCTGGCCGTCACTACAGATACACCCACTGAGGGTGATAAGACCTCTGATGCCAGAGGTGGGGCCGTCCATTGGAGGGTGGCGGGGCCTCTTTCACCCAAACCAGTGTTCTGCCCCTTGGCTTGGGCAGGAGACCTCACTGCCTGGTGTCTGTCCGCTGGGTGCTGGGAGCTGAGTGCCTGGGGTGCCATCTGCACTCAGGGCATGGAGGGCAGTAGTGGGCGTGGAGTCCACCGACACCCTCATCCACCTCCGGCCTGTTGGCTTTGGAGGCTGTAGCCCCACTAGGTAACGGAGACGCCCTCCAGGTGAGGCTGGTTCTGTCTGCCTGGTCACCTGGCTTCCCCTCAGATTTGTGCAGGAAGTGCACAGGTGGAGGTGACAGGTTTCCCCACTGATGCTCTGCCTCCCCACCTTCTCAACCGGGCACGTGGGTCCCCCCACCCTGCAGCAGCTTCTTCAGGGCTCCACCACGAGGCAGAAGCAGTAGTCCAGGTGAGAAAGCCTGCCTCCAGGTCTCTCTCTGTCCCTTCCCTCCCTCCACTTTCTCTCTCTCTCGCGCATCTTCTCACATCCTAATCTCCACTGCCTTGCTACCCTGGACTGCCAGCATCACGTGACAGCGTATAAGACGCGCTGGCTCTCGGGCCCACTCTCTGACCCAGTGAATCCGAATCTGCTAACACTTTTAACCATGTCCTGGCGGAATCTTGTGAACACTGACGTTTGAGAAGCTCTACTTGAGCCGCATGTGGCCCTCATGTGTGGCCCTCACGTTTGGCCCCCACATGTGGCCCCTGTGGCGATGAGTCAGGGGCCAGCTCCAGGGTTTGCACCTTCCACCGGCGCTCGTGAAAGTCTGGAAGCAGTGTCCTCTCAGGCCCCAGCTGCTGCCTGGAGGGCCTCCAGAGCGCCTTCATTCTGACCATCTGCACTATGAAGGCATGCTGTGACCAGCAGTGACAGAGCCACAGAGCCAGAGGACAATTCAGAGGCTCTGTCATCCAGCTCGTGGGTGTGGATGGCCGATCCTGCCCTCTGACCCTCTTGGAGCTTACCCAGTGTAGGATTCGGGGATCCTCTTTTTGGGGTCCCTAAGTCAGATTCCAAGGAGCCCTGGTGGCACAGTGGTTAAGCGCTCAGTTGCTAACTCGAAAAGGTCGGCAGTTCAAACCCACCCAGCTGCTCTGCGGGAGAGAGATGTGGCAGTCTGCTTCCATAAAGATCACAGCCTAGGAAACCCGATGGGGCAGTCCTACTCTGTCCCGTAGGGTCACTAGGAGTTGGAATTGACTCGATGGCAACAGGTTTGCGTTGTTTTTTTTGGTTTTTAAGCCGGATTCTAGCTCTTCCTGCTTGTTACCTGCTTCTCTTGCTTAGGCAAAGCTGTCTTCTCAGCCCCCAGAGTAATCTCTTCAGTCTCATTCTTACCCCGAAAGGAAAGCCTTTTTTAAAATCAGCACTTACTCCAACTAAGACACATGCTGTTGTTGTGTGCCGTCGAGTCGATTCCAACTCTTAGTGACCCCATTTGACAGAGTAGAAGAGTCCCATAGGATTTTCTAGGCTGTAATCTTTACGGGAGCAGACGGCCAGGTCTTTCTCCCGAAGAACTGCTGGGGGGTTCGAACCACCGACCTTTTGATTACCAGCCAAGCGCTTAACCGTTGTGCCCCAGAGCTCTTACTAAGATACATGGGAACCTCTTATTTAATTTTTCTCTCAGCCCAGAGCTGTTTGGACTTTCTACGGGAGGGAATGAAGTAAGCCTACCTATGCACAGAGCGCCAACCCTGTGACTTACAAAAGCCACGTTGGGCCGAATTCTCCCAGACTAGGGCGGGTGGGACGGTGGGAGCTTCCACATCTCCCCATCCTTAGCCCGGCTCCCCTCACCCACATGCCAGCCCCAAGCCCTGCCCCCAACCTTTAAAGTCCTCTCTCTCCTAGATCCCTGCCTCCTTACCGCTGCCCACCCTCACTAACCTGAGAACTCATTCTGTAGCCTGAGAGTAGGCTAAAGAGTTTCCCTGTGTCCTACCTGCCCCTCAGCCACCCTTCACCTTGCTGCCACCATCATCTTCCTAAATGGCAGATTCAATCACAGCTGCCCAGCTTACGAAGCCCCAGGGCCCTGAGATGCCCAGGATCAGGAACACTGAGGTCCTTTGGCGTCCTTGGGCAATGACTTTGCACCTGCTCCTTCTCTCACCACATGCCTGCACCCCAGGACACCCATGCTCCCTAAGCCATGCCCACAGTGCTCCTTCCACCCCGAATCCGCTGCTCACTGCATGCTTTGCCCCCAACCCCGCCCCATACTTAGAAGCATGCGTAGCCGACTGTGGACCCTCACTAAAATGCCTGGGGAATGAGCAATCCCCACCAGGGCCAGCAGGCGTTTTGGCTCTCTTGCCTCCTCATTATCTCCATCAGCCAGCCCCTTTAAGGCAACCTTAAGCAAACATACAATCGAGGTGCGGACAGTACGCTGCCCTGTCGTGCAGAGCTGGGAAATGCGTTTTCTACCCTCTCCACCTTTCCCAATCATTGCCACCCAAGTCTCCCCAACCCAGATATCTCAGAGCCCTCACAGGACTAGGGGAAAAGCAAATAAAGCCTTCTGCAACACTCACACAAATACAAACACACACACATACACTCACACCCTCACACACATGCACTCATGCATATTCACACACATACACACACACATTAACACACTCATACCTCACAGACACACACACACTCATACACCCACACACATACACACACGTGCAGTCACATTACCACACACTCACACACATAAACATTCACACATACACATACTCACACATTAGCCTACACTCACACACACATTAGCACACACAGCATTCATACATATTACCATACACTCCCACTCCCACACATTAGCATACACTTACACTCACACACATTAGCATACACTCACACACACACTCATACACACATGCTCACATACACACACGCTCACATACACACTCATACACACACAATCACACTCACATACACACACACACACGCTCACATACACACTCACACACACTCACACTCACATACACACTCACACACACGCTCACATACACACTCACACACTCACACTCACATACACACACACACTCACACTCACAT